ATTTCAATCACCTTTCCACTAAGCCTTTAACATGGCTGCAAAAGAGGCACAAAGTGAACAATTTGGAATTCCTCCTCCATTCCCTGCTCCTACTCCCAAGAGCTACCACAAAAACAACAAAAAAAGGGGGGGAGGAGTGAAGAGGTGAAAATTAGAGGACCTAAATAATTTAGATTAAAAGTTAAGTTTTTAATAAAATAGTTCACTATAATAAAAACAACACCCACCACAAACAGAATATAAAAATCAGTCAAGATAAAACCAGTATTTCTGGGGTGGTAAGGAAATAAGTTAATTCATTCAAACACAACTGGGCACACTGTAAACTGGTACAATTTTTCTGAAATATAATTTGACACTATGTAACAAGAGTAATAAAAGTGTTTCTATGTTAAACTTGGGAATTTTATTTTAACAAATATGACCCAACAAGTAAATCAACAGAAAAACTTATCCATTCAAAATGCTTGTATACACACTATTTTAATGGGGAAGAGGGGGAACATAAAACCAATTCAATTTTATAAAATTGTGAAAAAAGTAAAAAATGTCAGTACAAAAGCTGTCATTCAGCAAGCATTTTTACTGTGCAATATATACATCAGATTCAATAATGAGGACATCAGGGACATTCTCTAGCACCCAGAGCCTCCGATATGCAATCGGAGTACAAAGCAGGAGCACCCAAAAGGGTCTATGGCAGTGAGGAGAAAGGACTCCCGGAAAGGAAGCACCATTTAAACTAAGACTTAGGAAGCACACACAATAGTCAGGTGGAAGCAGAAATCCACAGCGAAAGAGAAGGCTCTCCAAACAGCATGTGCAGAAGGCTGAAGACGAGTGAGAGCTTGGATGTGAAAGCAAATCCAAGTTCACAATGGTTGGAGCAGAGACTATAAACTGGAGAGAACTGGCACGTGAGGCTTGACATAGAGGCAGGGGCCAAATTAATGAGACTGAGCTTTATACGAAGCACAGTGGGAAGCCAAAGAATCATCCAATAATCATTTCTAAAACATCATTCTGTGGAGAATCATCTGGAGAAAGGATAGATGTAGAAATCAGCCAAGCTTTTTACATTTAGCCGCAGTATGATGAGGGACTCTCATGAAAGGCAAGGTCACCAAATGAGTGATGAGGTGGCAGGCTGAAGAAGGATAGGCTGAGAGATTTGGAGAGCAGAGAATGTTTGAAATAGCCAGAGTGGCAAAATAAGCAATAATGGAAAGAGAGCTAGAACGCCAAGGCAATACTCAAAGCAAAGCCCATCTG